TCGGCGGCGGCGGCGGCAGGTACCGGGCATTGGGCATCGCGGCGGGCAGCGCGGCGGGCAGGGGCCGCGGGGAGACATGCGAGACCGCGGCATGCCCGGCAGAGCCTCCCCAGCCTCGGCCGGAGCTGCCGGGCGGTGCCCGCGCGGCTGCGGGGGAGCCCCGAGGGCGCGGGGATGGGGATGCGGGGCTCGGGATGCGGGGCTCGCGGGGTCGGGGCTCAGCCCCGCTCTGGGGGGTTTTGGTGGGCACAGCGCGGGGTCCGTGCTGGGAACAGCGCGGTGGATGTCACCGAAATGGCCCGAGTCATTGAGGGTTTTCCGCTTTGCGATGGTCTGAGAGGATGCTGCAAGGCTGGGTTGCTGCCTGGAACTGTGCTCGGGCTGAATCACTGCGGTTTGGGGTTTTCCCTCTAGCGTGACCGTGTCTTGCTGTGGAAAATTTAAAAGATGCTAATTTCCTTTAAAAGTAAGGAAAGGTAGTAAGGTGGCACGGCAGGATCCTTACAACAAGGAAAAAAAATGTTATGGTAACGATAAATTAATGCCTGTTTCACTGAAGTTAGTAACTGGCAGGATGCTGGGTGGAATCGGAGCACTTTAGTTACTTGCCCTATATTACTTTTATAACCCATTTGTTCAGATGATACAGATCAAAAGCTGCTGTAATAAAACCATGCTTTTCAGCTCTGAGAGCCTAAAAAGCACAAGTGGACCTTAATCACATGAGTTTGTTGCATTAACATTTTATTACCATTTTATAGTCTGTTTGATTTTACCAGGCAACACACTACAAACCTGAAGTTGTCCCTGCCTGGCACCTCTTTTTATATATGTATATTTCTAGGCTCCTACTTTCTGTAGTGCCACTTGATTGTAAAAACACGCATTAAAATAGCATCTGAGGCAGAAATTAACACAAAGGAGATCTTCAGAAAAGTGTGTCAGAGTTCTTGTAAACGTGAGAAAGGATGAAGCTGTGGGGGGAGCGGGTTAGTCAAATAATGAAAAGGAAAAAAAAATGTAGCTATTTATATGCAAAGAGGTCTGGCTTGCAAACTGCCAGAAGTGGTCGGAAACTGAGGCAGCAGCTCTGCACTGGGCGGGCTGGGGGGACAGATCAGAGCCACCTGCCCTGCCACGACTCCATCACAGCCCTGCGGTGAGCGATGAGCGGGCTCAGGTGTCACAAGTGCCACCTGGAGCCCTGGGAGGTGGCACTCCGCTGACATTCCCTTCAGTTCTCCTGCCCGTGGGGCAAACCTGCTCGGTGACAGTGGCAGAAACACGAAGTGTGACGCTGGGATGAGGGATGAGACCGGGAAGCAGCGGTTCCTGCTTGGGTTGGATATTCCTGGCCAGTGAAACCAGGAACTACCTGAGCAAGCACTCGCTGGAAGTCTTTACAGAGATTAGAGATTTGCAGGCACGGGGGAAGATGGGATCAGCCACTAACAAAAGAAATACCCACCGGCTTAGGGAGATCAGCATCCAGCTGCTCGGTGCCTCATGACTGCAAACTCCTCCAGGCAGTTTTAATCTTTTTTTTTGTGTGTGTGTCTGCAGCACGGAACATGTTGGGGAGGATCCTGCCCTCCTATTTAGGGCTTTACACCCTGCAGTAGCAGGGAATCATTGCTCTGTTTTATGCTGCTCATTTTGCTCA